GGAGGTCCCTGGGAGCAGCGGGGACCCCAGGCCCATGCTGTGCCCCAGGACTGTGGGACCCTCCCCACCCTTGGGGGCATCCCGGGGTCCCCTGTTCCCATCCTGACCCTGCGCCCTCTCCCTCCCTCACAGGGTGTCCCTGGAGATGCCGGTGCCCCTGGTCCCGCCGGTGCCAGGGTAAGCTGAACCCCACTCACTGCCCAGCTGGGTTGCGGCACCCTCCAGAACCCACCATGCCCCTCATGGCCTTGGCCCCTCTCTTGCCTCCCACCTCCAGGGCGAGAGAGGATTCCCTGGAGAACGTGGTGTCCAAGGGCCCCCCGGTCCCCAAGGTCCTCGTGGTGCTAACGGTGCTCCTGGTAACGATGGTGCTAAGGTAGGAGCGAGGTCCTGGCTCTCAGGGTGCAGATATAAAGGGGTGGGTGGGTTTGGCTTTGCCCTCTTTGCTGGGGCTCGGGTTGAGGCCGTGCTTTCTCTAACACCCGTTTCTTGTCTTTCTATCTCAGGGTGATGCTGGTGCTCCTGGTGCCCCTGGGAACCAAGGGCCCCCCGGTCTGCAGGGTATGCCCGGAGAGCGTGGTGCTGCCGGCCTGCCAGGCGCCAAGGGTGACAGAGTATGTTTCCCCCCAAATCCTGATGTCCCCCACCTTGGTCCCCTGCTCCTGACCATCTCTGTTTCCCCCTCCTCATGCCCTCGGGGCTGTATGCACTTCCCAAAGCCAGGGCTGATGGGAGGAGCCCCCTCGGGAGGGGATGCTCAGTGCTACCAATGTCCCTGCCAGAGTGTGGACCTTGGGGACAAACCCCCGCTGAGCCCAGCTCTTCCCTGGGAAGAGGAGGATGCTCCAGCCTCCCGCAGGGAGGATGAAGGTCCAGGAGTGCCTCAGTGCTGCTGTGCTTAACCTGTCATCATCTTTCTCTCCCAGGGTGACCCTGGCCCCAAAGGTGCTGACGGCGCTCCTGGTAAAGACGGTCTCCGAGGTCTGACTGGTCCCATCGGCCCCCCCGGCCCCGCTGGTGCTCCCGGTGACAAGGTACTGCCACTGCACCGGGATGGATGTGCCCTGGTCGCTGCCACCACCTCCTTGACTCAGCCCTGACCTCCTACTTTTGGTTTCCCTCCCCTTTTCCAGGGTGAAGCTGGTCCCCCGGGTCCTGCTGGTCCCACTGGTGCCCGTGGTGCTCCCGTAAGTGTCCCCCTGCCCCGGCCGTGGTGGC